TCTCGCTACAGACAAGGAAGACAAAACTCAGAACCGTGACTCAGGTTCGGTGCCGGAAACGACAAAATCAAGGCTACAACCAGCTAGACTGCAGAGCCGCTCCTCGCTCGTCGGTGAAGTCTGCATGTACTCCATGCATTTCATCTCGAATGTAGCTTAAGAACACAGATATCATAACACGAGTGGGAGTCAGGACTAACTTGTTCCTGCCCACGAGAAGAGTGAGAGTGCAATGAACTTCCTTTGGGAGGTCATTGGATTGGTGCCAAATTACATCATCAAAACAAAAATAATAAACATTTGCACAAAATATATTTAATGGAAAACTAAGGCTAGAGATACATTGTCTTATAAAATATAGCAAAATAGAGATCTAAAACCCAAGGACAACCAAACACAGGAATGAAATCCTACTAAATGAAAGGCAAACCTTGAGAGTCATTTTAGCACCATATCCAGAAACTTAAAACCAGCCGGGTACAGGAAAAACGGAGAGGTTTCTTTAAAATCACCCGCACAGTGGCTGTCCTCCTGTTCCCAGGCCTGTGGAGACCAGCTTCCTGCTCCACAGGAGGAGTACATGGCACATGGGAAACGGCGGAGTCAGCCGGATTCCACCCACAGCAGCTCCTCTCCTCAGCAGCCCTGACAGCCCACAGAAACCAACTGGCTCTGTGTGATGGCAAGATGAGACCCAGGATCCGCTTCTCTTGTAACTAGAAGTTTTCACATATGTTACAAAGATCCAGCCTACCTGCAGATCAGTTGAAATATCATTTTTTTTTCCTTTTTTTTTTTTTTAGAATTTTTTGTATTTATTTTAATTTGATAGAGTGGGACAGAGTGAGAGAGTGAGAGAAAGAGAGAGAGAGAGAAAAAAAATGAGAAAGCAAGTCATCAGGCCTGGGACTCAAACCACAGTCGGCCACAAAGGAGTCCAGCACCTTAAACCACCATGCCACTTGCCAGTCCCAAGTATCTGTTTTAAAAATCAAAAGCCTGGAGCCAGTTGGTGGCATAGTGGTTAAGGCAACTGGGTCCCGCATGACTGACTGTGTGTTTGGGGTCCCAGACCCAAGACTTGAAAAAAATGCTGGGTGCATATATGCATACACAAAATCTCCAGGAGGAGAGTGGAGAGGGGATTGTAGCATGGCCATTCCCCGTGGGGTGGGAGAGTAATTTCTCACTTTTTCTCACTCTTTCTCTAGCAAGTGCACATACCCTAGATTAAACTTAAAAAAAAAAAAAAAAAAAAAAAAAAGGCAAAAGCCCAAAGACATGCATTTCATTTGGAAAGAAGATGAGGCATGAAGAGTAAAGTTTTCCTAATTATAAATGGGAAAAAGAGCAAAAGATACTAAGAAGTAGTCACACAAAAAAAAACTAATATGAGAAAATTCACTTCAGAGGAGTTAGGAAAGGAAGAATAAATAATTGAGTGAAACAAAAATTAACTGTATCATTACAGCATATAGAGTTTCTGTAACTAATACACATTAAAGACAATTTAACAACTTTGAGTTCTAGTACCCGTTTCTTCGATTTCTTAAACATTAATGCTTGTAAAGGCTCTTGAAAGGAAACATTGCACAATGACTTATAGACGCCTAAGAACAGGTGTTCGTGCGACACGTAAGAATCATGAACAACATTACAAAAACTCAAAGAAATGGTTTTGACTTACTAGGAAAGAGTAAGGTCCATAAATATGCACTTTTTAATCTTTCCCAGGTAATTCTGATTAATATCCAGTTTTAGGATCCAGAATTCAGGTAGCATTATTTCTGCAGCTATGGATGCACTAGACACACATTTTTTGAGCATCTATTATGTCTAAGACTGGGCATTGTCTTAGTCTATTCAGGCAGTTTAAAAGAATACATAGACTGGGTGCTTATAAATAACAGGAGTCTATTTCTCATAGTTCTGGAAGTTTGTAGTCCAAGATGAAGGTATTGGCAATTCAGGATCTGGAAAGGGCCTGCTTCCTGGTTTATAGGGAATTCTTTTCACTAGGCCTTCATATGCTCCAAAGAGAGGGAAGGATGTCTCTTTAAAAGAGCACTGACCACCCAAGGCCCCACTACCAAATGCTGTTCCAATGGGGAGCAGGTGCCAACGTGCGCACTAGGAGGACACAGATACTCAGCCTGCAGTAGGCACCTAATACGGGCTTTAGCACACAGATGGGAGTGAAACGTGGCTGTCAGAGTTCACATTCAAGTACGGGAGCCAAACACATAGCTGTAGTACAAAGAGCAGTCCACCAATAAGAAGCAACGAGAACCTCTGCTGGACAGTGAACGAGCCTCTACATGAGCCTGGGGTCCTGGGGGAGAGGACATCTGACATAAGTCCTGAAGGTTGAGATATTAGTCTCATGCATTCAGAGAAGAATGAGGAAAAAGAAAAAGCAATATTCCAAGTCACCCCAAAACTCCACACACCAGAATCAGGAGCTGACGGTAGAGTTGGGGTAGAGGGATAGCAGTTGGTTAGCTAGTTATCTCATGGCAGGGAGGAGCTGTCTGCACTTCTGGCAGAAGACTCTTTGGAAAAGTGGGATACAGACTTATGAAGGGTAAGAAACGAAAAGAAAGAAAAAGAAGAAAGCAAGAAATGAAAGGAGAAAGATGAGTTAGGAATCCACAGAAGAATTTCAGACAAGAGATAGTGAAGACCTGATCTTTTCAAATACAAAACAGTAAATATTAAAGTAGGAACTGAAGAGAAATGGAGGCAAAAAGGCAAAAGGATTGATAGAAGAGCATGGGAGGTGGGAAGGGAGAGACGGTTCAAGAAAGAGGAAAAAAGAGTCAAGGATGACCCCAGACCATTGTAGGCAAGTCACTCGCCCTTAGTGTCATCGGTAAAATATGGAGCCCAGATAACTTCTCAAAGAGCTTCTAAAATCTGAATCATTAGGATACTGATTATTGTATCCTTCAAGGACACCTCAAAGCCTGTTGCGGTCTGTTCTTACACTAAGCGGCTCCTGGACATTCCGAGTTCAGTGCCTCCTCTGGAGTTCTGTAAAGTTCCCTGTTAATGACGTCACCTTGTTGGCTGAGAAAGTGGCTGCTGACACAGATTTGCTGTTTCAAGGTGTGCTGCAGCTATGGAGGTTAGGTTACTAACTCTCTTCTGAACTGGACATCCCTTCATTGGTATAGCCTATGCGTTCTCACTCCACAATGCCTTACTCTTCACTATGTAAATGCTGTAGGTGTCCCTTTAGGCTGTAAGTTCCTGAGGACAAGAAGAGTCTCGGTATTCTTTGCGCCCCTCCACATAAACTGCCCCATATGGTGCCCTACAAACCAGCTCAAACAGCTCTGTGCTAGTGGATATTGTACCAAGGTGTGAAATTGTGACTAGATTACAAATAAACAGATTTTGAGTGAGTAAGAAGCCATTTTGTTTTGGTATATTTTCTTTCACTTTTTTTTCCCTGAGCAGATGAACTAAACGCTCAGGCAACTCATCATTAAGAACTTTACCTTAGTTCCATATTTTTAACTGTATTTGAGATAAAGTTATTAAGAGACAAAGATATGGAACAGCAAGACATAATTAAAGCAGAAAATCACTGAAGATAATACAAGCACAATTAGAGAAAAGAGACAACTATCAAAGAAAACAAAAGCAATCTATGGTTTCTTATCATGGATTTGGAATATCTCAGGAGGCTAAAAACTATAAAATTCCTTAAGTAATTTTATGGATGTAACTGGAGATATATGTCTAGGAATTTGCATCAACTCTTTAATTTGATTGTCTTCATTGATAATTAAATCATACAGATAAGCAAGTCAAAGCTAAATAGTGTACTGTTGATGCCAAAACTGTAGAAACAGTTAGTAGAAACAGCTCTTGATTATGACCTTTGCTCAATTGCAATTAAGTTTACGAGGCCTATACTACTTATCCGTGTTTCAATAGAATTTTTATTTTTCTAACATATTGCCTTTTATAAAGGGTTATGACAAAATTAAATGAAATAGTTAAACTGTCACTAAGGACCAGAAAAAAAGGAGGTAATGAGCCAAAACTGAGTCACCAAATCTACTTCTCTATTAGTTCAGAGTAAGCATTCTCTAGCTGCCAAATATTAACACAATGTGCAGATTTTATTTAGGAGTGCCAGTTAATGTAGAAAGTGCAAGTTGGACAAAATTTCTGAAATTGAATTGAAGACTGCCTACAATTTGAGTATTTCAGAAGACAAAAGAGATCACAGAATTTTTTAGTTATTTAATAGATATTATATCTGATGGGTTGGATAAGCAGAAAGGAGCTGGCCTAAAATTTACATGTCCGGATCTTCATGTCTCTCTGTTCCCTACCTAGTTCTCTATGTGATTTCTGAAAAAGGACTTAGTGACCATGGGCATACTGCCCTTCTTTACATTGATTACAATTCAGTAAATAGTTTTTGCTCTTAGTTTACTTAGGAGGATATTGAACTTTTCTAAAGATATTTTTAATAAGAAATTAAGCATGGTAAGAAGTTTCAAAACAAGCACAGGAATAAGAACTTTTAACCTAAATCAAATCAAAATTTTGATACAGCTAAATCAGCTCCAGCAATGAATATGTACCTAGCGTATACCGGCACTTTATAAAATGCAGTGATAATAATAGTTCTTTCCTCCAGAAACATACAGTCTATTGGAAAAAGGAACACATAAACAAAGGAGTTATTATAATGTGGTAAATACTAGGACAGAAAGATACGCATATTACTGGTTTACTAACAGGTTTATTGGAATAATTTATTTCGACCTACTAATTTTTCCTCTCTACTCTTGGCCTTGACAGTATTCACTAGCCAATCGACAAGTTCATGTTTCATGTCTGAAAATTGCATCCGTTGTCCTTCATATCTAAACCACAATTGGCAAATATACCTCTTAGTCCACTTGTGTAGCTATAAAATACCTTAGGCTGAGTAATCATAAGTAATAGAAATTATTTCTTACAGTTTTGGAGGCTGGGAAGTCAAGATCAAGGCACTGACAGGTTGGTCGTCTGGTGAAGTCCCTGACTGCTCCCAAGATGGCACTTTCAAAGCTGTGTCTTCAAGTAGCAGAAGGGATAGAAGCAGAAGAGGAGACGAACACTGCATCATCGCATGGTAGAAGAGCACCAGAGAACAAACCCATTCCCTCCTGTCCTTCAATTAGCCCTCCCTAATTCCATCCATCAGGGTGCTCCCCTCGTTACCTAACCACCTTCTAAAGGCTCTGCCTCTTAATACTATCATTTAGGCCATTAGGTCTAACTATATGAACATGGGACATATTCGGGCCATACCAACATGGCACAATGCCATCATTTGTTTCTCCCATGCCGTGGCAATCATTCCTCCCAATGAATTCTCACAAGCGTTCTCAGTATTCCAGGCAATCACTCCAGTAATTGGCACATGAGATGAAACCCATCTGCTTCCTTGGGTGTAGGTTTACATCTGCCAGTACCATATTGGCAGATGCTATTTGGGATCTGATTTCTTACCCAGCTAGAAATATCTAATTTTTTTTTTAATTTATGTTTCGGCTCTTTATATCCTTTTTATTTTTTTTTTATTTTTTATTTTTTAAGTTTTGCTACAGGACATGTGCACACACCCAGAGAGAGAGAGAAATAAAAAGTGAGACATCACCCCCCAGGGGATGGCCACACCACAATACCTTGTCTTTCACTCTCCTCTTGGGATTTGGGGCATGCACACGTGCCTGGCATGTTTTTCAAACCTCTGGGTCTGGGAATCGAATCACTCAGTTGGCCATGTGGGATCCAGTCGTTAACCTCCATGCTACCTGCTGGTCTTTGCATTCTCTTTTAAGCTCTCCACTAATGTATTCCCTATGAGAGGAAGTTCGAGATCCAAGCTCACTTGCAGAGCAGAGATAACTGAGATTTCCTAAATGCAATGTAAATGAAAGCGCACCTCATACTGTCAGCTTCACTCACATAGGAATGCTAGAGAACATGTCTGGGTATAAACTCGGGAGCTGTAATGTGCATATTTACAGATAAGACAAACAAGAATTAGAAAGAGTCAGGACTGAAACTCAGGTAGTCAAGATTTAGAATTGTTAATCCCTACTCTATATCACCCCCACTTCTCTAAATCCTTCTAAATGTTCCCAGGGAAAGACAGCACTCCTATCAGAAGTCTTTAGTTTTCTTCATAATATGCTCTTTTTAAAGTTAATTTATTTCATTCTTCTGAAAGAAACAGGTAACCCCACTAGGGTCTCAATGCCATGATCCATCGCCAGCTTTAGCCAGTCCAGATCATGGGCACACATATGCCCAGATCACCAGACATTAAGTTGAAATCTTCCCATGTGCATTAGCCTCAGAGAATACAACATTTCTGCTGCACCACCATCCAGCCACATATGTTATTGTAAAACACGTTGAAGAAATGGGTATATTCAGGAAAACACACACAGGAGAGCTAGTATGGCAAATTATTAACACCTCGCCGATTTAGGCGATGACTCTGAAACTTTTCCAAATAAAAATTGAAAGACAAAAGAATAATAGACCCAGGTTTCACTGAGTAAAAGGAAATTATTTCATCACATAGTCTTAACATTGTATATACCTCAGAATGTAAAGATAAAGTTGTTAAAGTTATTCAATCAAAACAACTTGACTAATTGGAATAAATGCAAAAGACAGCAGTCAAGACACTCAGGTTAAATTTCGGAGCAAAGTCATATAAAAACCACAGAACTTAAAAGCAGAGAGAGGTTTTTCAAATTGTCTAGTTGAACCTGGCCATTTTACTAGTGACGAAATTCAGTAGCAAAAACTTTAAATGAACTGTCTAAATTTCTGCAGAATGAGAATAACTTTAGTATCCCAGGTTAGAGTTTTGTCACTGACTCCTCTAGTAAGCAATGAAAAGCAATCAACAGGGCTTGAGTTTAAAAAAAAAAAAAGGGCGGGGGAGTAAAAGTATTATGGCTTTAGACTTCCTGACTCACAGAACTGAAGCAAGCATACAGAGGTAGCTCTAACTTCTAAGAGCAGCTGGCTAAAAAAGTTCTTAGGCCCTATTACATGGTTCTTCTGCAATGCCAAGCTCAAATTATCACACACTAAGCCTGTAGACAAGATTTTACTTTTCCTGTCATACAAACAGAAGTCCCAGAATTGAGTTTCCAGAATTGAGTTTCGTTGGCCCTGACAGGCCTGATTCAAGCCAATCACTAACTATAGAAGGTCAGGAGGGTAACATGTACTTGATACACTTAATAAAGGTCATATTCTCCACTCGTAGACTTGGGAATGGAGTCAACTTGACTGAAATCACAGGCTGAGAGTGAAAAAGAGATAGGTCAATGAAAAAACAAAAAGCTGGGGTACCATTAATACAAAAAAAGAGTATGGTGTCTGTGATAATAAATATGGTTTATCTAACAAAAAAAAAAGTAGATACAGATGACAATAGACAAATACAACATCTATCCATAAGTAACAGTTGAAAAAATAAAGTCTGAGACAAATCTTACCTTTTAAAATATTTCCCAGGGACCAGCAGTTGGTGTAATGGCTATGTCGCTGGACTCCCCTGGAGCTGGCCACGTTCCGAGTCCCAGACCTGGTAGCTTAAACTCATGCCGGGCGCATGTGCATGTGTGCCCAAGATCCCGAGAGGAGAAAGAAGGAAAAGGGATTATGGTGTTGCCATCCCCCCCCCGGGGGGGTGGGGTGATTTCTCGCTTTCTGTCTCTCTGTCTCTCTCTGTCTTTCTGGCGAGCACACACGCCCTTATAGCAAAAAAAAAAAAAAAAAAAAAAAACACTCCAAAAAAATTTTTTTTTCTAAAACACTTTTTTGGAGAGAGAAAAATATATCTGTTCTTCAGGAATGAAGTATATATCTATACTTCAGGAATGAATTAAAACCAATAGGCAGAGAAGAGTATATCGTTTGTTTGTTTAGAGGTTTTCACCTTAGGCATGTGTGCTTGCGGTGGGAGAGACACACACGGTGAGAGAGAAAGTGAGAAATCACCCCCTAGGTGGGAAGGCCATGGCCATGCCACAATCCCTTCTTCAGTCTTCTCCTAGGATCTTGGGCACACACACAAATGCAGCTGGTGTGATTTTGAAGCCACCAGATCCAGTTCTCAAACTGTGGTCAGCCATGTGGGAGTCCAGCAACATAACTACCATATCACCTGCTGGTCCCAAGATCATATAGATTTAATTCAGTAGATGGAAAAAACATCCTAATGATTAGAGTTACCCACTAATTAAGCAGACAGATCATGGAGTAATTAGTTTCCCATAGTGGAAGCCTTCAAGCAAAAGGAGAGTAACCGTCTATTCAAAATGTTGTAGAGGGATCCCTACATTGGGTGGGAGTTTGCTTTAAACTGCCTCTTAGACAGACGCCTTTCAGATTCTAAATTATTGACTGGAGCATGAATAAAAGATCCAAACCCATTGGAGAACTAAATTATTCAACAAAGGCAATAGAACTTTCAGCTATGAAATTGAATCCACCTGACTTGGAGTGCTAGATATCCCATTTTACAAGGAAAACAGATGCAAATCTCTTAAAATCATTTATTTCAAATTATAATACTAAAATTAATTTTGTAAGGAAATATGTTCCCTATAATTTCATCACGCAAAAATAAAATTATTTTAGAAATTTCTCTTTTAAATTTGACTTGTGCTGATGCTCATACAATTGTACTTTTGTAAGACTTTTTCCCTAAGCCAAGCACAGCTAAGTCTTTAATCTTGTTCTGGCTCTTGGGATACAACATAACTGAGTCACTGGCTCTACCACTGTCAGTCTCTGCTTTTAAGTTTTGGGTGTTTTTTTTTTTAGGATTTTGCCATAGGGCCTGTGCTCTTGCCAGAGAGAAACAGAGAGAGGGAAAGTGAGAAATCACCCCCAGTGGGGATGGCCACACCATAATCCCTTCTCCTTCATTCTTCTCCTGGGATTTTGGGTGCCCACCGTGATTTTCAAGCCACCAGGTCAAGAACTCGAACTGCAATTGGCCACGTAGGAATCCAGTTCCTTAACCACCATGCCAAATGCTGGTCCCTGCTTTTTAAAATTTTATGTAATTATTTAAATAAATAAGACATGAGACAGACAAACAGAAAGAAACATTATCCAATAGGGTCCCAATACCACAGTCCACCTATGGCCTCATCTAGCCCTGATCATGATCAAGGGCCTTTTCCACTTTATATAGAAAATATTTATCATGCTGATACAAAATCTTCATCTTTACCATTTTAAGGCCTTATACATGTGTGTTAGGATACCAGAGTTTACTCAGCCATACAAGAGGACAGGTAGGTTATTTTCAACTTTCCACTGTAGTTTTGCTTTGAAAATCTTTATTCAATTTTTCCTTCTTTTGCTTTTTTTAAAATTCTTATTTTTAATAGATAATTGTATATTCATGAGGTACAATGTGATGTGCCAATATATGTATACAATATGAAATGATTAAGGAAATTAATATATCTATCAGCTCACAGACTTACCATTTTTGATGTAATAAGAACATTTAACGTCTAACCTTTCAACAATTTCAAAATATACAATGCATCATTATTAAGTAGGTCACCAAACTGCAATAGATCTTGAAAGCTTATTCCTACTAACTGAAACTTAGTACCCTTTAACCATCTTCTCCTCATTCTCCATCCCTTTTCAATTACTTCCTAGGTCTAGGGTTAGTAGGCCAGAGTGTATGGTTATCTTTGGGGTTTCAGGCTATGTTTGCCAAAAGAACGTTCTCCAGTTACACAGCCATTAGCGACAGAAATGACTGAGATGAACTAGTGATATTTCCCTAAAGTATTGCCGACATCGGGTCTTATTCCACATTCTAAAACCTGCTAAGGGACATTAAATAGGTACTTAGTTTGCACATCCCTTGTTTTCCTCCTCTAATGAGTTGAAATAGCTTTCTCAACATATTTCTTTTAATGAAAATAACTCTTAATGTACATTCTTACTGTAGAGAGAGAACTCAGTAGTACATCTGGTATTAGAGAAAGGAAATAAAGCAGAGGATGGAAATTAACTACAAGGGGAAAGCAAATTTCTCCTTCTTCAATTCAGAATAGACTCTCAGGGAAAGCTAGGGAACACTGAGAGAGTATGAGTTCAGCATCGGTCTGACACAACTCCTTTAAACCAAAAGAATGCTAAAAGAAGTGAAGGTTCTCCAATAACTTCTTTTTCAAGCTAATTAACATATTAATCAGTTGGGACCAGCAGTTAGCGTAATGGCTATGTCGCTGGACTCCCATGTAGTCGACCCCGGTTTGTGTCCTGGACCTGGGATGCTTAAAACTCATGCCGCGCGTGTGCGTGCCCCAGGATCCCAAGAGGAGAATGGAGAAGGGATTGCGGCATGGCCATTCCCCCTGGGGGGTGACTTCTCGCTTTCTGTCTCTATCTCTCTCTGTCTGTCTGGTGAGCACACGCGCCCTATAGCAAAAAACTCTCAAAAAAAAAAAAAAAACTTTTAATCAGTTTTATATTAACATAAATTGTCCAGAAACCATTGCATTTTTCTGAAATTTTTGCTAAGATTCCAAACATCTCAAAATTAAGTTCCCATATTGAAGCCTCTGCTAAATAGGAAGGGGGCACATGAAAAATCATGCAAGAGGCAGAAATTAAAGCACAGAAAGCTTCTAAACAACATGACAGTGTGTATGTCAAAACTCAAACTGACAGACGAAGTTTGGGGTAGTATCCACAAATAGCTCATTTGTTTTTCAAGCCTAAATTACCAAGAATACAGATCACTCTGATTTGCTCATTTTTCCCTCTGGAAAGAATTTACAAATGAAATGGTGTGAAAGAACATTAATAATAAGATAACAAAGGCATAAAAGTGAGAGGTTAAAAACCCCGTTCCCATAGCAACTGTGCAAGTCATGTTTGCACTACACAGGCCACTCCTTGACTGTGCATCTGTTTCTCATCACTTATTAATTCCTGGGGAAACACAAGATGATACTCTCAATGAAATCACAAGTAAACTACATACAATTAGAGACAAACACATTATAGTTGCCTAGGTAATAACCACCTTCTGTTTCCCATGGGAGACTGGCGATGATGGTTATTCTCACCCAGCAGAGAGAATATGGCTCTCCTCTCCCATTAAATGTGCTTGAAAGTGAGTGATCTGGGAGGTAACCCAAAAGTGTCTTTTGTGGAAAATGCTACTACAGGTTGAGCATCACTTACTGGAACTGTTTGGGACCAGAAGTGTTTAGTATTTTAGATTTTTTTTTAATTTTGGAATATTTGCACAAACACAATGAGATATCTTAGGAATAGAACCCAAGCCTAAACAGAAAACTACTTGTGTTTTATATCTTAAACACATAACCTAAAAATAAGTTTATACAATATCTTTGTATCAAAACATTTTTTGTTTTCTTTAGTGACTGAAAGAGAGAAATAGAAAGTGTCCAGAACAGGGCCTGGACACTCAAGGTCTCCATGAGCTTACCGGGACCTTCACGTGGGTCAGCCTCAGAGCGTCACTCTTCACAGCTGTGCCGCCATCTAGTCCTCGTACTGTAGCATTTGAACGACTACTTGTCATGAGGAATCAGGTGTGGACTTTTCCCCTTGTTCGTACACTGGTGCTCAAAAAAATTACAGATTTTGGAACATTTCAGATTTGGAGTTTGGGGACTAGGGATGCTCAACTTGCGTTAGATTTGTTTAAACAGGTGATTCTCTAGATCTCAAATAAAAAACAGAGTTTCTATGAACAAAAGGATAACAGTCCAAAGAGAAACGCACTTACTAAACACAAGGTAGACAATTCTAAGAAAAGGTTCTGACTTCAGTCCCAGGTGAAAATCAAGGATTCTGACCACTCCTTAATGAAAGTTTTTGGCTTTTGCCAAGAGAAGCAGACTATAACAGCATTAGAAGACTAAAGTGGTAGCTTTAGGAGAGTAGAACCTAGACCTGGACCTAATACCTAGTAGTGTTCAATGAACACCTGTTAAAATACTGAATGCACTTCTCAAATAATTGAAAAGAAGCAAACAATGAACACCTGTTAAAATACTGAATAATGCACTTCTCAAATAATTGAAAAGAAGCAAAGACCAGTGTATTCTAGAACATTTCTGGAGCCAGATCGTGGTGTGATGTGATGACTAAGGTGGCTGGATTTCACATGGATTTCTTCATGATCTGACTCCCAGACCCAGAGGATTGAAAAACATGCCAGGTGTGCACACACGCATGCCCCAAATGCCAAGAGGAGAAGGGGAGAGAAGGGATTCTGCTTGGCCATCCCGTGGAGGGTGCTCTCACTTTCCCTTTCCTTCTCTCTCTCCCTGGTGAGTGCACACACTCTATAGCCATCGTCATTTTAAGAAACACTACTAAGAATTACACTGAAATTTCAAGAGTGAAAATGTCATTAGAGGAAAGAAATAAGGTCTATGAGGGCTATTACTGGGTTCCCATGGTAGCATTTGTTTCTGATTATACAAATATAGTATTAAATGCTGTCCTCTGGGTGTTCAAAGGTTTGATTTTCTGATTTGTGATAAGACTGTGTTGGGAAGAGACTATTGGGAGGCCATGAGAGAATACGTATGAGATTGTGTGATAGAGACCATGTACACAGACTGAAAGATTGTGTGTGAGAGGCTGTATGTGATTGAGAGCCTCTGCACGTGAGGTATGTATGACAGAAGGAGACAGCGTGTGTATGAAGGGACTTCAAGTTCCTGCAAAAACGTGAAATTAAAGTACAAGTTTATCTTGGTAGGGAAAAACTGAAATCCATACATAGTTCTCATCAACGCTTTTCTCATGAACTTCTTTAAGACCCCTTTTCAAATAAGAGAGACTGTATGGGAAACAGAGACAGAGATTGTTTGTGTGGAACAGATACTCTTGAGTTCCTAACTACTGAAAACCGCATCTTAAAATAAGTCCATGGCCAGACCAGCAGTTAGTGTAATGGCTATGTCGCTGGACTCCCATATAGTCGACTGCGGTTCGCATCCCGGACCTGGTGGCTTAAAACTCACGCCGAGCATGTGTGTGCATGCCCAAGATCCCAAGAGGAGAATGGAGGAGAAGAGATTGCTGCGTGGCCATCCCCCGGGGGGGTGATTTCTCGTTGTCTGTCTGTCTCTGTCTGGCAAGAGCACACGGCCTATAGCAAAAACCTCTCCAAAAAAAATAATAAGTCCATGTGAATGAATGTAAATAAATAAATAATAAGTCCATG